ATACTTCTCACAACACCCAAAAGCTCATTTTGCCCACAGACATTCACCAGTGTTCATGTAGAGCAGGGTTTCTCAACCTTGGCAACTTGAAGATGTGTGGACTTTAACTCCCAGAATTCCCCAGCCAGCACTGAAACACTGATGTAGAGCTTTGACAGCCCTCTTCTGGGATGTCTAGACTGAGCAGGGGATTGGCCTCCCTGCCCCAAAGAGCCCACTTCAACTCTGGGATTCTAGTGTTTCCTTTCAGTGTCATTATTTCATACCACCCTGAGTTATCCCAGAGGGCTGAGGAACCTTCAGATGTTCACAACTACAGTTCCTACACCTTCCCTTAACCATACTGGCAGCAGCTGATGGACATTGAAGTCAGAAAGACCTGGAGAGGGTGACATTGGCCCATGATTCTGTGATGTTGCAGCCACTACTGTATTTCAGGGGAAACTCATCACACTGTCCCTGTACTAAATATCTCAGGGAAAGGAATACGTTCCCTCCCCCCTCAAGATACATGGTTGGCTTCAACCCTGCAGGCCTTTAGAAAGGCAGTTAAGACCTGGCTCTTCCCCTGGGTACTTGAGTCAAAATGAACAGAGTTCCCAACTGATGAGGCATAATACACAGTACTTTTGATTATTCTAGTTTGCTTTAGTGGTGTTATTTCTTGTTTTGTATTTTTCTTTAATGATTTTGTATGCCCGAGTCACATTGATAAATGTTCAGAATGAATGACCACTGGACAGATACAGTTTGTATAGAAGTGTCACTCTTGTTCCAACTAAGGAGACAAATTTGGGCTAATTCCTGGTTGGGAAAATTATTTAGGAACCCTGTGTTGCTGGAAAGAGCAAGATATAAATGTATTAATACATACATACACGCCAAAGTTACTTTGTGTGCAACAACAATTTCCCTATGACATGAACAGGGTGCTTAAGGCTCAGGTGTCAGTAGTGAGATGTCCAGAACTGTGTATAAATTCATTTGATTCGTCTCTCCTGCTGGAGAAAAGAGACACAATACATCCAAATTTGTAAATTTGGTGTTTAATGCTAAATAAATGTAATTATAACCGTTTAAAGCAAGTCAGCAGCTCCAGAAAGATTCACACCAAGTAACCTATTTTAGTACTGAAATTACAGATGCAGTGTTTTATCTTATTTTAAGGTAATCCAATCACAAGTAAGGAAACAAGTGTGATAATATGAACAGCACTGCCTCTCATCAACATTTCCTATGCATACATTTTGCTTTATCATTGTATGCAGACTTTTTGGCAACATCTTTGGCACAAAACACCCAGGAATTTTCCAGAAATGAATTTACTGTTTTCCAAACCAAAAAAAAAAACAAAACTGCTTTGGAAAGGAAAGCGGGCTTCTCCTATAGCTCATCAAGTTTATCAAGCAGTACTGCAGTTTAAAATCCATCCATTTCAAGAAAAACTAAAGGGTCTTGGTCAGAAGAACATCATCTATAGACTTCTCAAACCAAAGCATTTTTATAAGACCAGAGCAGCTGGGGATTTCAATGGTCCAGGAAGACTGTGAGCTGCCCAGAGTCACATATGTGATATGGGCAGCTACATAAATTGAATGAAATAAACAGAGATGCACATGGTTTTAACTCCCTATAGCATCCACAAGACAGGTGGCATCGATGCCGAGAAGAAAGTTTTGCAGAGTTTCTTTTTTTCTCCATAAGAGTGAAGGACATAATTTATTTGGAAAATATGTAACAGCGAATAGCAAAGAGGAAGGATCTTTCCTACCCAGCAAGAACCAAGAAGGTATCAGCTCATAGCCTTTTGGGGTCATGCTTTTTAAACACACTGGCATCGGACAGAATGCTAAGATTATGCAGAGACAAAGAAATACACACAGAGAATATTCTTGTAAGAACACCCACATTCTATCCTATACACAAATGCCACCCTGAGGATCTGGAAAAATATAAATGGCTTTATTTAAACACTTATCCCGGCAATAAAAGCAAATATTCCAGAAAGAAAAGTGCAACTTGACTATATTCCAAAAGGAAGTGCATAAGCTCTCCCTGGGACCAGACTGCTGAAGTCTAGGCAGCCGGGAAACCTACACCCATAGTTCTTCCTGGCACAAGATGTTAGAAGCAGCATAATTTTTTAAAAAGATCTTTAAACCTTCAAGCAGGGAACTGCTCTTTGTAACTACAGAGACAAATCCACAACGTACGGGCTTAAAAAATACAACTTGCACAACACTAACCAATGGCCATGCCTATTTGGGAAAGGGTCTGTAACTTCAAAACAAATCTCGAGGACTCATTTTGTTGAAAGACAAGGCAGCTGCACGCAAATCTAGAAAACCTTCCCCTTGCTCGCCTATTCTTTGATGCATCTCCCGGCAGGCAGCTTGGAGGAAGAACTCCATCCCGCCCACGCAGTACAGATTAGATCAGCATTTCTCAACCTTGGCAATTTTATGATAGGTGGACTTCAACTCCCAGAATTTCCCAGCCAGGAATTCTGGAAGTTGAAGTCCACCTATCATAAAGTTGCCAGGGTTGAGAAATGCCGGATTAGATATTCACTTGAAATTGCAACAATACAAATGGTAGTACAGGAAATGCTTACACCCTGTCCTAACACATACACACAGTTAAACATGAATTGGATCTTCAGGCAGACACACTCCTGAAGAAAGTGGTATCTGAGCACCAAGAAGCCAGACCAGTCAAGCAAAAGTGATATCCCAGCCCTTCATGATGGAAGGAAAACATCAAAGTATAATATGGAAGGCTAAACTTCCATCTCTTTCAGGAGTTAAGGCAGCACTGGCTCCTGAAAACAATCTGTCCTTGGCAACGTACATCAGGAAACACTGCAGAAGCAGACAACAAACTAGAATACATGTAGCTCAGGGCCAAACTGCTCCACAGAAGCAGACAAGTTTTACTCTAATACGTTGCTCCAGCAGTTGGGAACCCATGTCTAGAGCAACAGCCATTTTTTTTCCTACTTTGGAAACTCTTGGAATTGTTTCTGGAATATATGGAGCCAGGCCTTCTAAGAATATGCCCACACAGAAATCACCTATCTCCCCATCATTAGTTTTCTGCACAGCATTCATAAAGTAATGTTTGATGAGTCTTCAAAACATCTCACTCAAAAGGAATTATCAAGCGTATCTATTGCACTTAAAAACCTCAGCCAGCTTCTATCAACCAAATTTCTGCAGTCCAAATGCTGCAAGGGATTAAACTTTTCCCCCAGTTTTCTGCAAATCTCAAAGGGACCAGACACCACAACATCTGGGTTTGGTTAACTCTCATTACAATACACCATACAACTTAAGTTTGAGCTATCCATCTACCTTCTGAACTCCATTAAAGGGTTACAAATAATTTTTAGCCTGCTCAAATTTTCACATTACAGTAGTACTACCTCCTGTCCCAAGCTCACACCCATCCTATCTTCATTGCCAATCCCTTCCCACTATTATCCTCATCAGATCCAGTCTTAATGAACTAAGGGGCAAAAATCTCAGTTCAAATACATGAACAGAGATGCCTGACCACTAAAATTAAATCTCACTCACTTGGATCATCCATGTTTACCATTGTTTAATTCCTAATTATGTCTCTTAGCTAACCTGTTATACAAGCCTATCTACCTGTCTCCCATCTAACAGCAAATCACACCTCTCCCCTCAGTTTTATGCACCTAATTCTGCCAGCTCAACTCTGTCCACAGTTCACAAATGGTTCATTAATTTGCTCCCTCCACATCTCTGCATCAGCCCGGCAAGCTTGGTATATAGATAATGCCTGCCCAAGTCAGCTGCCTTGGCTCCTTTTCCAAGGAGAAATAAGGAAGTCACTCCCCAGTCACTTTTCTTTGCCTTACAGATTTGTACTAGACTACTCACACCCGTCCACCTTCACAATGATGCCAACCTTTTTGAAGTACCTCCCTAAGTTTCAGCCACCACACCTGCCCCAGTCTCCACCCAGGATTCCGCACACACATTTGAATCTAACATCTTTGTTTCTTTTTCATCTTGGCTGCTCAAGATTCAAGGACATTAACTTGAAAACTTCCTCCCCACCCTCCACTTTCTAGGGCCTCGCTTCCCCCAATCTTCCAACTGGCCACTTTAATCCAGAGTACCCTCTTCCTTTTCCACAGAGACCCACCACTTCAACTCACGTGGAAACCTAAATTGGGAGAAAGAAACTAAGAGCCTCCCTACCTTCATATATCATACACCTGTTGAAAGCCACAGCCTGTTAAAGAGGAAGTGACCATAGCCAGGATTAAATAGAGATATCAGGAAATCAGGCATGGTTAACGCAAGTATGTGCATGAACACACAGAGAGCACGACCGCCCAAACGTGCTTCCCTCCACAATCCCAGAAAGCCATTTTAGTTCTCCCATATGAAAAAAATCCCATTTCAACTCTCATACTCTCAGTTCCCCCCTTCTTGTTTCTTCTACCTACCAAGCGACAGCAGAGCCATTACAGAAAATGCCACAATATGGCAGGCAGAATATATAATTATACGTTTACACCCTCCTGTCCCACTCAGGAGAAGGGGGGAAGATGCCTGGGATGGAACAATCAAGCCTTTGGCAGAATGAAGGAAGAAAGATACACGTATCCAAGGGTGCACATTCAAGCAGCTTTAAACCACGACCCCCCCTTGAGTTCTCCCCCCTTCCCCATTTATAATGGCAGCTGGCCATGTATAATATAAATCTGCTAAATAAACAAATAAGCAAACTTCTCAGGCCGCCCTCTCGCCCTTTCACCCCCGTCAGGTGGCCCCAACTGTCAAACGCGCCCTCCCGGCGCAGAAAAGCGGCGTCTAGAGACGAGGCCTCGAGCGAGGCTCCACACGTTCGCACCCACGCGTGTACCTGCTCCGCACGACGCCCCCACCCCCGTCCCGGCGGGGGCGGGGGTGGGGGGGGCGGGGGGGGGGGGGGGGCGGCCCCGGGCCCCCCGCCCGCCTCACCTGGAGATGCTCCTGGAAGCGGATCGGCAGGATCTGAGCCATGGCGGCGGAAGCGTTGTTGGGGTTTGGGGGCTCCAGCCCGACG